AGGGCATATATATATATAGAGAGAGAGAGAGAGAGTTCTTCCATCTGCTGGTTCACTTCCTAAGTGGCTGTGATGGAGCAGCACAGATCCGGAGTCAGGAGCCAGGATTGTCTTCTAGGTCTCCCACATGGGTGCAGGGTCCCAATGCTTTGAACCATCCTCTACTGCTTTCCCAGGCCACAAGTAGGGAGCTGGGTGGGAAGTGGAGCAGCTGGGACATGAGCTGGTGCCCACATGGTATCCTGGAGCTCACAAGAAGAGGTTCTAGCTACTAGGCTGTTGTGTCAGGCCCTACAATATGGTTTTTTACTGTTAGAATTTATTTTGAGCTTAGAACAATTACGGTTATGAACCAAACACATTACGGTTATGAACCAAAATGTCTCACATATAAGTTATCAGATTATTTATACTATTGTTTCACAGAAACCATAAAATATCAGAGTAATCAGAATATAGAAATTATCACACTAAGCAAAATGATATATTTTTGGGATATCATCAGTTACAATAAGCAAATATGTTGGTTCACACAAAGAAAAATAACCATGTTAGGAAGTTGAACAAAAGCTACCCAAGTGTATTTCTAATATTAACAGTGCCCTGGGATGGTATGTACAAAAAAAAATACTGTGTAGTTTTATTATAGGTCAATATCACATTTTCTTTGCTTGTAGGTTATTTCTAACTATGTTTCCTTCTGTGGGCTTATATGTTATTTCATATCTATCCCATTAATACAGAAATTCATTGACATTGTGTCCATGTTTATTCTACCATAGCAATGGAAGGCATCTCAATGTTATGTATCAAAACAATTAAACTGTATGTCAAATAGAAGTTAATGGTGTATAGTAGGGTATTAAAAGTAATCAGTAAAGAAATCATTTAATCTTACATTCCTCTTGTATACATTGTTGACATCCTTTGAAATTGGTGTTCCCTGAGCCTAAGAAGCTGTATCATGAAAACCATAAAATAAAACAACAACAAAAAGAGTGGCTATAAATAAAAAACAATACAAACCAAAAATAAAAAAAAACCAGCACATTACTTATTCTGGAATACTCTACAGGCTCACCTTGTAAGGATAGGGAATTATTTTTCTGCCAACAGCCATTTCAATATTTAGACTTTCATCCATGGACCATCCAAAATTAAAACTTAAATATTATCCTCCTATAGATTGATTGAATTTCACCCTCCCACCTATGTTGCCTTGTCAGGGCCAGACCAAATGATTGAGAAGGTCTTATATGGTCCATGTGGTAGACATTCCCTACCCAGGGGACAACAAAGTTGCAGGTAGGGATGTAGGAGAGTAGTTATTTTAGAGGATTATGTGTAACAGGATAAGTAAATGGTCTTGAGCTTAGTAAAGAAAAATATATTAGACAGTCATTCTTTTCAAGCGAGCATGAACTTGGATGGGTAGGTCTCTTAAGGAAGAAGAAATAAAACAACCACTGTGAAAGGTCATCTGGAAAGTAAACACGTAATACTGCGGAGTTGTTTGTGTGGTATTTTTTGTTTGTTGTTTACATATTGGCAGGAAGAACTCATGTTGAATTATTGGTTGAGAGAGAGATAGAAACAACCAGCCTGATATCATTGTTTCATAACATCATTCAGTATTCAATTTTTTCTAATTCTGTTTTTTTGTTCCTTGAAAGAGGTAATACTGAATAGTAATTTCTATCAAGGTGAAAAATTAGATACTTAATCAGATTAAAAGGATTGATTTAAATAATGATAAAACCTTGGTGATTAGTGGCAAAGTGCCACAGTAAATGCAAACCATAATATGCCTTAAAGTAGCAGAAAGATGATTACATCCATGGCATATCTGTCAGAAAGGTACATGGAGCACTGCTTATTACCTGGAGACTGCCCATCATTGAAATACTAGGTAGGTTATAATAGCTGAATTAATTATATACAATGGCCCAACGAGAATGTTATAGCATTAAAACCAGGAAAACTAAAGTAAAACTCAATTGTGTGGAGAGTTCAACAGCAAATTGGGAAAAGAGGAAACAATCAGTAAAAAAAAAAAAAAGAACAGCAGAAATTATACTCAATCAGAACAAAAGGAAGAATATAAACTGAACGAAGAAATATAAATGGAAACTGAAGAAGCTATTACATTAAAAATATCTAGTATTATGTCATTGGAGTTCAGAAAAATGAAAAGAAACAGTAGGGATGAATAAATATTGTAAGAAGTCATGACTAACATTTATCCAAATCATCTGAAAAAGCGTAAGTCTTAAGAACAAAACATGTGAAATTCAATAAAATGAGAGAAATTTATACAGAGATAAAACTATATAAACAGGAAACAAGAAAACTCTACACAAAGAGAAAATTAATGTTTTATCATAGGGAAAAGACAATTCAAATGACAAATTTTGCATAAAAGACAAAGACACCAGTATAAACTGATGCGACATTTTAAAATTCTGAACTATCTCAAATTGTACCACTGCTCCATCATACTGCAAACATCAAGACATTCTCAGATGAAGGAAAAACAAAACAATGTTCACCAAGAGATTTACTCTAAAAGATGTCCAAAGGTTTCAAAAATGCAGCCATATTTTCAATTGCTTTGATAAAGAAAGATGTAGTTAAAATTGTGATCCAAGTTGTTCAAGAATTCAGTAGCTCATAATAGCAAACTTTTTTTTAAAGTTTGATTCAAGATAACCCAGAGGGATGTTTATTATAAAAACTCATTAGAAAAAGCTATTTAACAAGTAAATTTATATCCATATTTCATTGTTTTAATGACCTCTTAGAACCCAAATAATTAAAATATTATTTAAAACATTTTGTCATGATAAATGGAATTATACATCTTTTAATTGTGCTATTGCAACAGAAATCGCAACATTTCATTCACACCATCAGACAGTGACTATGACTATAGCATTAACAGATTGCAGAGGCCATATTCTTCAAACATCCTGCCTTAACTAACATCTATAATGACAAACAGTGAAATCGTTCTGACTCTACAGGGGCCAATTTTCTGGTGCAGTTCACAAGGTTCAGTGCTCCTCAGCTATAATTAGAAAACGGTGACTGCTCTTGATTAGTTTGGGTTACTATAGCAATTCCATATGCAGCCAATGTCTGTAGACTACTGAGCTGTATCGTGTATCCAGTGTAAATCACTCTTGTTAGTCACTTGTGATATATTTTATGTTTGTAATAACAAGTTCAAGCTAGCAGTGTCAGGAACACATGTTTTAAGCCATTATTGGAAATGCAGACCACAGAACGCGCACTTCCAATCTCGCTGTCACTCTTGGTGTTCGCATAAACTACTGAGTACTTTTGGAAATTGTTAGAGAAATGAGCTTGATTTTATGCAAAGTAACAAATATTTTCTCTTTTTCTCAAGAATATTATAAAAATTTGAGATCGGTTTACCTCTGGAAGATACTATAAAACTATTGTTAATCTGATTAATTTTGCTACTTCATATTCAATCTACTGGTGAAAGATTAGGTAAAATTTTATTGCATATTCAAACTGAGCCAACAATTTTTAAGGTCTCTAATATGCCTGAGATGGGAAAAGAATTTACGCTTTCTTTTCATGGGTATAGGTACATGCATTGAAAGCTAAGAGAATGCAATTTTTAACACTCCATCCTGACATTTTGTCAATGCACATGAATATATGCATAGCTTCACATGGAACATCTTGCAAAAGTATTGATATTATGTCAGATGTTTGGCATAAGAGTGAATACTTTAACAGTCATCCTATTGAGCTTTGAACAATTGTTTTGAGTTAAAAAAGATATGAAATATGGGTCTGTTTAATTTATCTTTTACATATGGCTTTCCAAATGTGTTTTCTTTAAAATACAAGCAATTTGGGTCATAACATAAAATATATAAATTGGTTTATAATCATCCTAAGTACATTACATCACCTTGACATCTATGTGTTTATAAGTGTATTCATTAAAGTATTGCAGTGCAAATATAAAAATAAAAAATTATATAGAGAGGTTTAGATAAATTTGTATTTAGTGTGAGTTTATTATGACTGCTGATGTGTTTCACCAATTTTAAAAAGAATATTTTAAGTAATCCCACAAATTTAAAGTCATTATAGATTTTATGCAGTTTGAGACCATTTGTATTACATGTAATACAATACATATAATATATTTATATCACATTCATATCTTTATATGCATTTACACATATGTATGTCTATTCATACACACCTATACATATGTTAATATGTATGTGTCTATTTATACATATTTATATATGCATATTTTACATATAAAATATAAACAGTATTCTTTTTTTTTTACTCTGAGTCACTGCATGTAAAAATATTCTACAGTTGATGTTCTTATTTTTTTGTGATAAAAAGAAAAAACTAAATGGAGCTTTAAGGCACTGTAAACTCTTCTGCATTCAGACCTTAATCCCAATATTAAGAGTAATGAAGGTGTAAGAAACAGCTGTATACACATCAATTATTTTAATGACTCAAGCTCCTTTCCCTTAGGGCCACCATATTTCTAAGCCAAAAGGGGACTCTTTGCCCCCCTTGACAACTGGCATCTGATAAATGATACTATTGCATGGTTCTAATATAGTGATTGATCATTTCAAATTAATTCCTAAGAGAAATCAATAGTTCCTTCCTAGAGCATTTACATTAATTAATTTATGTTAATAATGAATATCCTGCACCCACTGTTTGTCAGGGAATTAGTATAGTGTTTCAGAGCTTCAAACACACACACACCAAGTAAAAGAAAAATTCAATAGCAACAACTAAATCTTGACATCGGCAAATGTTTATCCAATTCAAATGCAAGGAAGAGAATTTGGAAGATATTTCAGAGTTGGATTGCTGTGCAAAAATGCCACCATGTCACCATCCGTTGGCACTAGACATGGCCTCTTCTCCCTTGGATTTATGCACACCTCTAGCCACTGTTAAAATGACATATTTCTTAGAGATATTACCCAGGGAATAGTACTCTAATAAAGGGTTTAATCTATTTTATGCATTTCAAAATACTTTTCAGTAGCTCAATTTATATCAATCAAAGTATAAGGGTGACTTACCTGAGCTTGTGCATTGGTCAAAAACAGACATACCTGAAAGCAAAACTGTAATTAGTAGGCAAATGGGATGTCTGAAAGAAAATAACAGAGAGATATAGTTTAATATAAAGGTTTTACTATAAAAGAGGAGTTAATCTGAGATATGACTTTTATGAGTACATTTTAGCTTAAGGCATAATGTAAGAAATGCTTCTAATACAGGAAAAAATTACAACAATCAAAATAATTCCTGTTTGGGGGGAGTGTATTTTAAAGGAATGACAAGAGATGAACTTTTTAGGGTAAGCAGAATATACATTTGATACTGTTAAACAAGAAAGAAACTAGTTTTTATTCAATGTGTAATAGGTAGTCACTCAGGTTGTAAGAAAGTCAGTGAGATTGTATGTTTGTCTTTATAAAATCTACTTTACACATGCATGTATTAATTTGATAAGTATTTTCTGATTCTTTTATTTGTGCTAAGAATGGTTTTACCCTTTTTGATATTTTACTGAATAAAGTACCTAGCTCTACTAGAGCTTACCTATGTGGGGGGAAGGATGAAACTAAACATCATAAGCGTAACAAACAAGTACACAGCACAGTGCTGAATGATGATTGAAATTTCTACAGGAAAGGAAAGAATGTACTACTACTGGGAGGGTCTGAATGAAGGCAGGGAATAATAGTGGGTGTGGTTGCCAAAACTGCTATAATCAATATAATGCTTAGAATAGCCCTTGAAGAACGTGATTGGAGGAAATACTTGATATACATAAGCTAAGCAGAGAGGAGGTAAAGAGTTTTACAGGCAGCAAGATCTGTAGATAATATTGGATGTCATTACACACTTATTCAGACACAGAAAATAACAAACCCTAAGAGTGAACCCTTATGTGAACAATGGATTTGGGTGATGCTAGTGTCTTAGTGTAGGACTGTGAGTACGCAGCACTTTTGTTAGGAATGTCAATAATGCTGAAGGCCATTCACCAGGGAAGCAAAGGGGCTACCTGCACCAGCTGCTCTAATCTGCTTTGACTCTACAATTACAGCATTTTTATTTTTTAAAGAAAAAGCTATTGCAGAAATCCAAGTAACAGTTGGTGGTAACTGACTAGTCATTAGCAACCCATATTCTGGTAAGCTGTCAATATAAGTATATTCAGAATGTTAAGTTAACCATGCAGCTAAACTGCATACACAGAGAAGAGAGAAATCAGTGATACACCAAAATGTTCACTGTGGGCACATCAGAATAGAGGTGCTAGCAACAGAGATGAGGACACTTGCATATCAAGTAGATTCAGTCTATGTTGAGTTTAAGGTACAAAAGTAGTTACTGGGTTCGCTGTTGGAGGTCAAAGTCTGGAGTTTAAAAAAAGTTATCCGAGTTAGAGAAAAATGGTCATTAAGAGATGAGGGTAAACTTACTGACAAGACAAAAATTATTGAGAAAATTAGTGTAGACAGAGAAGGAATGAGACTTGGAACATTCAATAATTGAACATTTAAATAGAGGATAGAGAATACTGAAAAAAAAGATTGATAATAAGGTAAAAGGAAACCAAGATACAATCATACCCTGTTAGACAATTGTAGAAAATGTAACATCAAGAAAATCACTGGGTCTGGCACAGTAGCCTATTGGCTGAAGTACTCACTTTGCATGTGCCAGAATCCCATATGGGCCCAGCAGTCCTGCCTCCTTCCCAGCTCCCTGCTTGTGGCCTGGGAAACAGTCAAAGATGGCTCAAATCTTTGGGACACTTCCCTCACATGGGAGACCTGGAAGAAGCTCCTGGCTCCTGGCTTTGGATCGGCACAGGTCCAACCATCGCGGCCACTTGGGGAATGAATCAACAGACAGACTCTCTTCCTCTCTGTCTCTCGTCTGTATATATCTGATTTTACAATAAAATTAAATAAATATTTTTTAAAAATCACTAACTTTCATATGTTCCAGATGGTTAAACAATTTAAGCTGTGAGAATTCACCACTGACCTTAGCAACGTAGAAGACATTATGCATCTTTGAAAGGACTCTTGATGAAATGGTAAGGTCCATAGAAAATTCTAGAAGAAGAGTAGTCCTAATGGAAAATGGGAACTTTCAAGAAGTTAGCTGCAAAGGATAGCAAATAAATGAAGTCAGAATCCTCTCTGTGAGGTAGGCACAATTTTGATTATTTTTTCTAAGATGACACAAATAGCAGCGTATGTGGGAGAGGGAGTTGTTGAAGCTATGATCTTGAGTGGATTGGAAGAAATGAGATCTGGTGCATAAGTATAACAATTGGCTTAACGTATAACAATGTATCAGTAAAAATAAGCAGAAAAATAGGTATAGATGCTTACATACTCCAAAACTGTGGTTAAAGTATAAGTTTTCCTCCAGTTGCTTCATATCTGTCCATAAACATAAAATTCACCACTTTGGAAGTTCAATAAAGTAGAAATCATATAGGTGTTACAAGAAAATCAGAAAAAAAGAAAAAGCAGCCAAGTCACAATCACAATATGGTAAAGACACGATGGCTGGAAGGGGGATCATATCCATTATCAGGCAAACAGGGACACCTTAAGACTGAGAAGCCACTACTAACCACAGACAGGAATATTCCAAATCTATCCGAGACAAATATGAACTAACTGTATCTTAAAATTTTGTCAATATAAGACTTTGTCTTAATTATTTAGATTATTAAGACATAGCTGCTGGATGCCAGCTCCAGTCGAGTTGGGAACTTGAGAAGGGTGAGTGAAATAGAGAGAAAAGAAATGAACCACTACAATTCCAGGGTCATAATGGACCATACGAGAAAGCTGTCCGCTTTATTTATGCAGAAGCAGTCACAAACTCTGGCACAGATCTTTCACGTCATGGCGTTGCATCCTCTCGACCACAGAATGAAGCCCCAACCAGAACAATTACAAAGTTTTCTTTAGTTTGATATACCTTCAAGGTGGGGGGGGCCCGCACCCCCCCATCCCTCCCGCCCCCGGCTGCTCTCCCAGGGTCAGGGCTCTAACCTTGGCACTGCCTGTGACAACCAGACCCTACCTTGAATTATCTGTGGGTTAGTAAGGCTAGGGCCTTGGTTTATGGGGTTTGGGGTCATTGGCATTAGTTAGCCATTAGCCTGCAAGCTCACACAGTTTGTTAGCTAAGCAAGTAAAGCAGGAGTTATAACAGCAAAAAGAATTGCAATTAGCAATGAGCCATGCTTACTCTATTTTGATTTGAACTCTACAATGGACAAGTGGGTGCTTCCAAAGAGAATTCTGCAAATTGTTTCACCTTAAGACAGGGTATTATCCATTCTGACATTGCAGCCAGGAATTCCTCAGTAAACAACACATATTAATCAGTAATGCACTCTTACTACAATTTATTTTCACAACTTATCTATCACTTAATGGGAGAAATATTTCAAAAGAGAAAAAACATAAAGATCTAAGACAAAAAGTTTCAAACATTAAATCCCTCTACAACTGCAGGCTCTACAACCTCATAAATAATCAAATAATAATCAAAAGTATATCTCTATGATGCTAATAAAATCGCCCTATATTTATTCTAGTTTAAAAAATATGAAAGCAACTAAAACAACCATATTTTCTATGCTCTAAAAAGATGCAAGGACAGGCTAACCTTTAAGGTCACAGTAACTATATTTTTTGCCATAGCAGGATAGCCTTTAGGGTCACAATAACTATATTTTTTGCCATAGCAATTTCAGCTCATACTCCCATCACTTCCATTAGTTTGTAAAATTCTTATTAAGCTGTTTCCCAGAAGGCATACTATATGTCTGGGCCAGATCTCAGGGCAATGGGTAGGTACACAATAAGATGTCCAGAAACAGCATGGGTTTAATTGTACTCCTGTGCGCAGTTAAAGCCCCACTCACCAAGACATTATCAACAACATTAACTCTCAAGCTCACGTTGGTTATAAAAGCCATCTCACAGGGGCAAACAATGCCTCAATAGATTGCAGAATTCTTAGTGGGGTGGTTGAGTATCCATGCGAAAGGGGGTGAGACTGCGTCAAGGTGGTCAGAGAAAATCTGCTGGGCCCTGCCAAACAGCTGGAAGCTCCCCCGGGCCCTGCCAAGCAGGGGGGCTGTTTTCTTCACACCTTCATGCCATCCACACCTACTGCATGGACCCCAGAACATAGCTATACATTTGATAAGGCTTAGGAAATGCTTTGTTATATACAGGATTAACCAATCATACTAGGTAATTTAACAAATCATGTTCATATACAGCTTTGGGGTATATTGTGATGCTTTGATATATAAGGTATAAAGTGGGAGAATTAAATCAAGCTTTGCAACCTTATTCACCTATCATTTCTTATGGCGAGACATGTAAAATTTGTCCTCTAGTCATTTCAAAATATTATAATGGGTTACATTTAGTCTCCTGTATAACGTATCTCAAAAACTATTCCTTGGGGGGTAGGCGTTGTGGTGTGAAGTTAACTTTCTGTGTGGGAAGCCTAGATTTCACATCTGAGTGCCAGTTTAACTCTTGGTGGTGCATCCTGGGATGCAACGGATAACGGTTCAAGTGCTTGAACTATTTTCATCATGTGGAGACCGGGCTGGAGCTCCTGGCTCCCACCTCACTCAGTCCTGTCTATTGTAGACGTTTGGACAGTGGATCAGTAAATGGGATATTTCCCCTCTCCACCTCCCCACTCCTCTGAAAGATTAACTTCAAAACACAAGGAATGGTCAAATGACTGTATACCATAAAAGTTAGCATCATAGAGATGGCTGCTTAATTTAAGAAAACTCATTGGAGATGTTAACTGTTGACAGAAGTGAATTTGGTGGGTACCTTTAACGATCTGCTGAGACATTAGTAAAGCAATTTCCAACAGAGTATACACACACACACACACACACACACACACACGATATGCAATTAAAATGAATAGGTATGAATAGTATGCAAATGAGATACACAGATTGCTTCAAATAAATTAAAAGTAGGGAAACTGAAACCAAAACTCACATAAGCCAGGAATCTTGTCAAAGACTAGGAGGTGCTTGAAACGGGTTTACTTGTGACAGAAACTCCTGAAAATATCGTCATAGTTTTATGGATTAAAATCAAATATAGGTGAACTCAAAAGGAATTACAAAACATATGAAGAAACGTACTGTTAAGTGAGAACCAGCAAAACCTGTTAAGAACTCCAGGATCTTCAGAGTATCAAATGATTAGTACAGATTGTAAAATAATATGTAAGATAACCTAGAAGATTTTGGAGAAAACAGTTAAATAAAACTTTTAGAAAAAAAAATATGCTGAAATTTAAAACCTAATGAGTGGCAGAATTAGCCAGATTATAGCAATATCAATTAAGGTTACAGCCAACATCGAATTGACCAAGACAATCCAAAATGATTTTGATAAGAAAGACATGTATACAAAAGTCTATTTCCTTTCACATCACAGGAAAACCAGGCAGGTTAGCTGTTTTATTTCAACTTTTCAAAGATTTATTTGAAAGTCAAAATGTCATAGAAAGAAGGAAATACAGATTTCCCCACCTCTGGTTCACTCTCCTTATTATTTGCTGCAATAGCAAAGACTGGGACAGGTTGAAGTCAAGACCCTTGCACTCCATCCGGGTCTCACACACATGTCCTCAGGTACACGAACCATTCTGCTGCTGCCTGCTCTTGGACATTAGCTGAGAACAAAGCCAGAAGCCGAGCAGCTGGGATTCAAACCAGCATTGTGAGACGGGATGCATCACTGGCTAAGCCTCAGTGCTGGTCCTGGAAAAATGGAATTTTAAATGTTAATTGATTTTGGTTTGAAACATTTTAAACTGGATGCATTTTCTTTTTTGTAATGTGCAGCTTCTGTGAACTTTTGAAGATTGCTCATAAATGTAATAACAGATCTAGTTTCAAGGCCTGATTTGACAATGGGAAAAACTTGGAGATTTACTCTGAAGGGAGTAATGTGAAGGGAAAGAAATACTGGAGGAAAAAATAGTTGAGAATTTTCTAGTGCAGACAAGAACCCAAATCCATGAACAAGTGAATTGCAGGCTAGAAATTCATGACTATATATACATCATACTGACTAGAAATACTGAACCTGTGACTATCTTAAAAGACACTAAGAAATAAAAGATCTTTTTTTGGTAGAATTACAAGTCAAACAATTAACACCTTCTTTTACACCAACTATTAAAATTAGAAAAGAATAAATTAACATCTTAATCTGTTAAATGTCCACAGTAAAGCCACTTTCCATCAAATCAACAGGGAAAAGATACTTACAGATAAAATCAGAAAGTTTACCACCATGAGATCTGCCTCAAGGAAATTCCTAGAAACAAAAACAAAATACAGTGAAATTTAAAAAAAATAATAAAAAGTAAACTCATAGGAAAAAATATATGAAGTGCAAACATGGGAATTGAAATTGTGAGACACATAAGTGAAACAAAACACACATACTTATATGAAACAATTATAAGGCCAGCAAGGTGGTATAGCACGCTAATCTCTGCCAGCATCCTAAATGGGCACGGGTTTGAGTTCCAATCCAGCTGCTGCAAATACAACACAAGATGGCCAAGACCTTGGGCCACTGCACACACGCGAGAGACCCAAAAGAAGCTCCTGGCTTTCGGTTTCGAACTAGCTGGGCTTTGGCTGTTGTAGCCATTCGGGGAGTGAATTATCAAATGGAAGATCTCTGTCTCACTTCCTCTCTGACAATGACTTTCAAGTAGAATGAAAGCATTTTAGAAGCATTAATTACAGTGTTCTAATTTGTTGTATTTTTCCATATAAAGAGCAGAACTAAAATCCTGGACACATTCATGAATCTAGAAAGAGCAGAAGAGGGTTAATATTTCCTGAAGTGAACTGTATTGAATGATTTTCTGAGTCTGTACTATGGCACATCAAGTGAGGCTGCCACTTGCAATAGTGGAATTCCATATGCACACTAGTTTGTGTCCTGGCTGCTCAACTTTCAATTCAGCTTCCTGCTAATATGCCTGGGAAGGTAGTGGAGAACTGCCCAAGTGCTTGGGTCCCAGCACCCATGTGGGAGTCCCAGCTGAAGCTCTTGGCTTGGACCTGGCCCAGAGCTGTCTATTTTGCCATCTAGGGAGGGAACTAGCAAACAGGAAAAAAAAAAAAAAATCTGTCTTTAAAATAAAGAAAAATGCTTCCCTAATGTGGACATAAAAAAAATTAAAAAACTGAAAAGACACAGAAAACACATGTCTTGTCATTCTTCAGGTGTTGATTCACACCTGTTTTCAACCTTTTAGGGGTATTCCAAAAAACAAAGCAAACGACTGCCAATTTCATGGTTTTAAGGGTTTTGATATTTCACCTGTTCAATCCAGAAAATCCATGGCACAAGATAATTACTGTACATATTTATTATTATAACAACTCAAAATTAGCACTTGAAACAATAAAACAATGATTTTTGGACACAGTAAGTGATAATGGACTTGGTGAGAACACCGAAATTTTCATCTTGGAAACTATTACATCTAATTAGCAGCAGGACGTGGCCCATTTGGATGTGGGGCCTGGGTGAGATCTGAAAGTTGCCTTCCCGCCACAGGCAGCGTCATGCAGTGCTACGCAGAGCCACCAGCAGGTCGGTCCAGACGCTAAGTCCAGGGACCTCAAACCCTCCATCCTGCACCTTGCAGGACTCCAGGGCAGCGAGAACTTCATCTTTCAGAGGTGTGGCTGTCTGACAGAGGTTCTGGAACCTATCATACAGCTCCTCCCACGGCACATCTTGGGAATCCGATCCAACCCAAATGCCTTTCTGAAGATCATAGTGCAGGTGTCGACCCCAGTCTGTAAGCAAGGACAGATAGACATGAGAAAGTGCAGGGTGGCGGACTGCCACAGAAGCTAAAAGTCCAGCTGGATTGTTCCGGCAAAAAGCAGCCATGATCTCTGCCTTCTCCAGTAACCAACGGACTAGCTCTTGACTCTCTTTTCCGAGTGCTCGAGGACTGCGCCCTTCCAGCTCTGCTTGAGGCCCCTGCACCAACGCCACAGCTATCACCTTCACGAAGTTGTCCCGAGGCAAGCGCTCCCACAGGCTGCTAAGAAACCTGCTGGGGCCCTCCTCTTGGGCCGACCCGACCTCCTGCAGACGCTCCAGCAGCAGCTCTGCCTGGGTCTTCATCAGCGGGTCTTCCTGAAGATTTGGGTTGTCTCTACAGGCACTGACACTCAGCAGGTGGACAGCAGAGCGGCGGCGGGCAAGGCGGGCCAGTTTGTCTTGCAGAGAATCCTCTGGGTCGCCGTCTGGGGCTCCAGGGCCGGGAAAGAGCTGCTGGAGGAGTTGGAGACGGGCAGCATCCCCGAGGGCCCGATTCTTCAACAGGCGTAGGGACAGCAGGACATCACTGTATCCGAGGGCCTCGAAGTTCGTCAGGCCCGGGACAGGACCCAGCCCAAGGCCGCCGTCCCGCGCCCACTGGCTGTGCAGCCTGCGCTCCAGGGCTGTGCGGATGCGGTCATGGCGACCAAAGCGCCGGTGGACGTGACGCACGTAGCGCGCCCACTGCAGTGCCCTGCGCACAGTCGCCGAGTCCCAGGTGCCGACGTGGCTCGTGCGGGAGATGGCCATGACCTCGGAAAAGCGCTCCAGGTTTTGCAGGAGCGGTTCCATGGCGCGCCGCAAAGCCTTACTTCCGCCTTCACCTTGGAGACGCCAACCCTCTGCGTGCCGATTGGAGCGGCCGCGAACTGGACCGCCTCTCTGCAACGCTATTGGGTAAAGACCCCGTCCGTCTCTCCGCGCCTGTTCCAGGTTCCAGGGCTCCGGGAAACTTAAACCAGAGAAAAGATGTTTTACTTTCCGTGGCTCCTTGAGGAAGTTTGAGTAGGGGCCTCTCAGCGAAAATTCCTGGAGCCCTGTGCGCGCTGCTGCTTTTCCCAAACGTCTCTGCGCTTCCTTTCGCTTTGTAAATAATTCTACGTAGAAACTTTTCGGACCGGTACTTGAAAGGAGAATAATGATGAGTTTCTACATGATTAGGTACCTTTTGCGTGTGAAGAAATGTTATTGAGTGGTATTTAAGATCGAATCAACTTGGCAAAAGGTCTCAACTTCCTATGAATGCCAGCTACTGTACTGAATTTTGAGCTTGCACGTCACTTTCACTATCAAAACTGAAACTCATATCAATAGAAAGGGACAAAACCCCTTCAAGATGAATACTTTATTAAGATTTCTTAGAGAGCTAAAATTTTATTCCCAACATGTACTGGATTTTATTTCTGTAATGTTCAGTGTTTAAAAGCACTTGCCACTGTGAATTGTTTAGCTAAAGACCCCAGGAATAGAGGGGCAAGGAAAAGAGACCCATACTTGATGTCATCTGCATTACCCACTCAAAAACAGGTTTTGTTTGTTTGTTTGCCAACTCATAAGACCTGGTTCCCACAAGGCCACAGTAAATTGTAACTTACAGAGACCTAATGATTTAATCATGGATGATTGGTTGTCTGGCATCATATCTTTCTATATAATTTAATTAAAATTTGATTCTGTGTTAAATACTTGTGTAAACATAACAATCTGCAAATCCTATCTCATACATTTCTGCCCGTTTTCACTGGAAATTGGTGTATCCATGACATTTTTCTGTTTTGAGGAAAGAGAGTTTAGAACTTTTACTAATTGTTGTATTTAGTTCAAAATAATTTAAGGAGAATTTTAAAGCGCTTACTCTAAGTAAAGTACAGGTGGTAGAAATGTTATTATGAGAAGGACCCTCCTTTCTAAGAGACCGTGTAATAAAGGACAAAATACACTTAATTGTAGTTCGTTTTAGATTTTGTGTAGTTTCAGAATTATAGGATTAACGCTCTTAGAGGCCAGAGGTCGGGGAAGGCTCTACAGCGCACGCATACTTGATTTAGGCCTTATAGTGTTGGACCAGTCAGTAGATGAAGGAGAATCTAAGCATCATCTATAGTGTATAGGGGCATGCTGCATGCGCTGTGTGCTGTGCATACCAGGCCCGGTTCTCTCCCTCTGTTTATGAACTTCAAATTCCTATATTACAGAACACTGGGACAGAAAATGTTAGGACACATTTAGGATATTTGGTTTAAAAGTAAAAAAAAAAAGCCCCTTAAAGCATGGTAGGTAAGCAAGATACACAGCTGAGGATCAGAAAGTCAAGCTTCACAAAAACCTAACCTCCTAGGGCCTTGGTGAAGATTAAATGCAATAATAAACATAAAATCCAGAGTGTGTATTATGGCTTTTAATGTTCAGGCCCTCTCAACCCCTCCACCTCCGTTGCATAATAGCAGTGGAAATTGAGGAAGCCTATTGATTTTGAGTCAATCTTGTTAATCCCCACCTTCATTCATTCAGTAATTTAGGAATAGAATCTCAAGCCTATCAATGTATTACATTTCTTTGTTTCATTTTTAAGATTTTAAAAATAACTTCTCTTTTATTTTGAAGCCAGAACTACAGTGAAATGGAGAGAGAAGCAGCAAAGAAAGAAGGCTTCCATTTGCAGGTTCATCCCAGAAATTGCCACAGTGCCCAGGGCTGAACCAAACCAAAGCCAGGAGCGAAGAGGCTCCTCCAGGTCTCCCATGGGGATGGTATGAGCCCAGGTACTTGGACTATATTCTGTTATCTTTCCCAGGCCAACAGTAGGGAGCTGGATCAGAGCGGCCAGGAAACAGCACCCACATTGGATTCCGGAGTTTAACTCACTGTGTCACACTGCTGGCCCCATCGTATCACATTTATAGTGTTAAGTGAAAGGATGCCAAACAATTAGGCCCATGCTGAAAGTTTTCTTACTTTCCTACTTCAGTCGGTTGGTAAACATTGACTAACGTGGGCAGACAGTCTTTGGGCCCATGTGAGTAGGTACAGGTTAGATGACAAACATGTTTATGAGGGTAATTTCTCTGTTCCTCTTCATATTTCTATATACAGATATAAACCCCAAAGCTGTCACAAGCATTTCCTTTCCAAGGCCAAGACGATCTCAGAACCACAAAGAAAAATTAAACTAAGCCCTTAAATTAAACCCATTGTGACAGAATGGGTTAGATCAGGGCCTTGCCGTGTTGACATCCAATATGGTAACATTGATTCATCCAATATGGGAACACTGATGCTGCTGATGTACCTTCCTACTAGTGTGTCTGGGAAAGCAGTGGATGATGGCCCAAGCATGGGTGCTCCTTCCAGTCATATGGAAGACCCAGATGGAGTTCTGGGTTCCTTTTGTTGTTGTTGCTGTCATTTGGGATGGGAACCAGTGAAATGGACACACACATTCTCTCTGTTTCAATCGCTGTACCTTTCAAATAACATAATCTTAAAAAGAAACAGAAACAAACAAAAACCTAAATCTGTTGAGAATTAGAGAATTCCCATTTGCTTTTGTTTCCTTTTGCCAGATTTATATTCCAATTGTTTTTTTTTTGTGCCTTCTCCCAATTAATTTCTCTCACAATATAAAGTACAAGCCACATCATCAGCAGCAGTAATGAGGAAATTTTGTGAAAGACATAGGTTGATGCTACAACACGTTACTCTCCATCCTGAGAAATTTCTAGTGAAATATGGACTAGTAACACTTAAAAAGTTGAGTTGCTTTAATTCTCTAAGTTGCATTTAATCTTTTACTTATTTTAAAATAGTCAGTATGCCAGGTGATATAGAGCACACGATGCAACTGAGAGATTGGTAAAAACAAATTGTCGTGATGTCTCTTTATTCTACTCCGAACAATGTGTACAGTAGGTCTCTGTTGGCTCTGCTTCCCCTATGCCCTGCCCTACCCCACAACTCATGATTTCAGCTACTTGTGGCCAGCCATAGTCCAAAAAATTTTAGATGGTAAAACATTCCATAAACAATTCTCAGGTTTTAAATCGCATTCAATTCTAAATAGCAAGATGCAATCTACTAACTCTGCCTGGGACATGAATTAATGAATTATCGCCTTGTCTGGCATTTCCACTCAGTATATGCTATCTGCTTGTTAGTCACGTAATAGCCATCTTGCTTATCAGATTGACTGCCATGATATCATGTGGCTTTTATTCAAGAGACGCTTATTTCACTTAGTGATGCTCCTGGTCCACAAGAGTAGTGATGCAAAAATGGCACCAGTGCACAAAGCGTGAAAGTACAAATTATTACTGTGTGGCAATGCTACAGTACGTACAGAAAAACAGGTAGTATAAATACACAGAATACACAGAGTCTAGTAGTATTTGTGGTTTTAGGCATCCACTAGGGTCTTGCAGCACAGCCCTTTGGGATTCAGGTATTACCTAGACAGAGAGAAGACACTTGCCTGTTCCATATGTGCCTGAAACAGAAGGGCTTGGCCTATAATTCAACCTGCAATTTGATGGCAGGGACCCAAGGATGTAGACCTTAATCTGCTGCTTGTGCCAACGTGCATGCTAGCAGGGAGCTAGAATCAGACACAGAGCCAGGTCAGACCCCAGCACTCAGATACAAGATATATGAGATGTAGATATCTAAATGTTATCTTAAACACTATGCCAAATGCCAGAGATTTCCTACAGGCTTTGCAAACATTATATTCATTTTTTTTTTCTTAACAGCATTGCAAACTATCTTTCTGGGAAATAGGAATATGCATCTTACATTTTACTTCAATAAAAAGCTTTTTCGTTTCATTTGCTTCCATTACAAAAATGGAAAATCATTAGATGAAATATAATAGAGAGCTTTAGACATATAAAACAGAATCTGACAATTAGATTTGCGGTCTTTACAGCATACAGTATTGCATCTGGCCCCAGTCAGAATACCTTGCATGATATAATGTTACAACCTGTCCTTACGCAGAATCTTACTGTGAACCTTACACAGAATCTTTAAAAAGGTTAAATTATACACCTGATAGGCAAAAGCACAATGTGATTATCCTACCTTTACAAGGCTTTTCTAAAGGCTATAGGCAACTTGCAACATAATAAATACTTTTTTCTCTCTCTCTCTTTAGCTCCCTGATCACATTCAGCAGAAGGTATTACAGAAGTATGAAATATTGATCTCCATTGACATTTGGGGCATAAAAATGACATCTGGGAAGCTAGCGTCATCAGGGAAATGAAGAGAGGTCTGATAAGTCATCTTGTGGTCTTTCCTTGGTTTAAGACATCCATTGAGTGGTGAGAGTGGGTACACATTGCAGTGCACCATGAAAAGGGAAATTAAGATTAAGGTGTTATTGTGCACATCGGTCTAGATGATGACACACATTTTCTGATTTTACATTATTGGCATGTGCCATTCGATTGCAGTGGGTGTGACATCAAATGACCTTACAGCCATCAGCAAAAGGACTTTATGGACCGTGTGCTATGTTCTGAAAGAGCTCATCAACACTTTAAAATGCAGGTTATGAAAAATCTTATTTGTTTGCATCATGGTAGTCATTACCATTATTTTGTGCTTATAAGAAAAGGAAAGGTTGCATTTAAAATTAAGCTCATTTTTTTTATTGATTTCATAGCTATTCAAAAATGATTTTGCCTATTTTATCAACAACATACTTAATTCATTGTGACTACTCACAAATGTATGAAGAAAACTTTGTTTAAAATCATGATCAGTAATTACAGCTAATTATTGCAAAAATAACAACATTAAAATATTATATTCTTCATGCTCCATAAGGGGGAGCCTGGGATGACATCGTGTGGTTGCTCGCTATTCTTGGGTACCGAAGAGGTTGGGAGGCTGGGCGTGCTTTCTCCCCATGTATACAGCCCCATCCCTGCCCCACATACAGCAAGAAGAAAAAGAACATGTGTAAGCAGTAATCTTGCCCTCTTTCCCCTGATCCTTGACTCTTCCCACCCTGATCAACTATGTAATCATCATCAAAAATAAAAGGAAAAAAAAGGAAAACTCAAAAAAATTGCTTTCTTAAAGCTAATTTCATTTTTTTTTGTAACAAAATTCACAGTTTAAATGTTTGGAATTGCACTTAAGTTTAATATTTAAAATTATTTCCCTTTATATCATAATTTAATGAAAATACAGTTTTAAAAGATTTATTGATTTATT